TTAAAACAAGTCAGTTACTATGCATATATAGTTAGGTCCCTAACGCCATTCAGTTTACTAAAGGTTAGGAGCCCAGAGTTGTTTTAGCATAAGTCACAGAATAGCTAAGGTTGGAAAGCACCTCTGGAGATAATCTAGTCCAACTTCCCTGCTTACAGCAGGGTCAGTTAAAGCAGGTTGCTCAGGGACAAATCCAGTTGTGTTTTGAATATCTCCAAGGGTGGATACTCCACAAATTCTCCAGCCGACTTGATCCAATGCTGATAGTAAAGAAGCTTTTTTCTTACTCTTTAATGGAATTTCCTGCATTTCAATTTGTGCCCATTGCCTCTTGTCCACTTACAGCAGCACTAAGAAAAGTCTTGTCTGCATCATCTTTACTTACATCCATCATGTATTTACACACATTGATAAGATCCCACTGAGTCCTGAGAAGTAATTTGACTGGGACCACAGAAATGAAAGTAAGATAGAAAAAAATATCTTGGGATTTTAGTTGCAAAGTAAAGTTGGATAAAGGAAGTTTATCTATTAAATTAGAATATTAAAAAAAAAAAGACAAACCGAAACCCACAGGAACTTATCTTAGTTTTGCGCAAAATAACAGCTGTTGCTCGTGTTCTGACAATTTGTCAGGTCCTTCATTTAAATAAGAAGAGAAATAAAGAGATTTGCCATTAAGAGAAGGTTGTGAACGAGTGTAATATAAACTTGATTTTCATTCACTCTTAAATATCGCGTCAGCAGAATTCTTATTGCGGTCATTTCATTATTTGTTTTCATGAAGTTCTGTAAAGATCAAAAATATTTCTATACACACAGGATTTGAATGTCTATGTTAATAATAAAAATAAAAGCAATAAAATAACTGCAAAGAATTTACAAATTCAAATCTCAGCAATTAAAATCCAGTCACTAATGTGATATGGAATGCCTCTAAGCCAGTGGATTTTTATTTTTTCTTCCTCTATTCATTTAATAGAGTTTTGTTATTCCGTAACAACAGTCTTAAGAACTCTTTCTTAAAAATAATAGAGGTAAATCTAAAATGGATATAACATATGCAGAACCAAATTTTTTACTAGTGTGAATGATCATTTGTGTTTATGTGGATATGGACATGTTATTCTTAAGACAAGGACATTTTCCAGGTAGTCTCTAAAATAATATTGTCAGTAATCTGTTGTTTTGAGTCATTTATTGCTCTCTACTCCGTAATGAACTCTGCTTCCATAACCTAGAGTAAATATCAGTAACTGTGATTTTATTTTGAACAGCAAAATTTAGAGCAAATTTATAAAATAAGTAAAAATCCTGAAAGTATAAAATATTCGCACATATCTTTGTGCAAGAGATATCATATACTGTCACCGTTGTTAAATACTTGCTGTTCGACTCACCGACAATATTACAAATCTACATTTCAAGAATAGCAGCAATTTCAGATTTGTGTGGTAGCATTCTTAAATCCAAATATTAGCAATTTTTTCTGTTCTTAACCCACAAGAGAAATTGTCTAAAATTTCCTAAGTAGTGGCATTTTTGGCTTTCTTCGAAGTGCAGGGAAGACTTTTGTCTTCTTCCCTGAAATTCCTTTCAAATATTCTATTACAAATTTATCTTTAGTTCTGTAAGTTCCCAATGTAAGCTTATTAGGTAGATTTCCTTAGATACTTTCTTTCTTAGCCAGATGCTTTACATTTAGACTTCTATTTCAACACAACTAGTGCATGTCATAACTATGTAACTTAAAACATGGATCTGTTTGTGCCAGTGAAGTGTCTCAAAGCCTTCATGTGCAGAAAGTGTTTTACAGAGTGTCTTGTGATTTGCTGGGGGTGGGTTGCTGTTGAGACATTTAAGACGATGATAGATGTTTGTGCACCAGTATCTTACACTTGGATATTTAAACAGAAGTATTTCTCTCAATTCAATCCCTTCAGTGCCTTTTATGCATTGTCTTATCTTCCTGTCACTCTGATAGAATTTGAAGTTTATGGTACTTTCCACAGTCGTGAGAAAGACACATATCTACTTTAAAATCTTGATGGTATAAGGGTTTGTAGAGCCTCTTTGAAGATGCAGTGCTTAAAAACTGAAGTAGTTATCTGATACAATTTACAAATGCACTGGGGTTCCTTAATCACATTGACTTCATGTCATCTCAGATGCCTTGACACATTTTTCATCTTGTAAACTTTATATTTTTCTAATTAATTGTTTAAAAACAAGGTGTTAAAACCTGAAACGTGTCCTTTAGAAAGAGAATGGGACAACATGGAATTGAACACAAGTTTCCTGGATCCCAGGTCATGCATAAATGAAAACAGATTCTTTTCCTTAGTTCTATAGAGCTGTTTACAAAAAACACCCCTGATAAATTAAAATTGTTTGATCATTCTTTAAAAAAAAGTCTTAAAGATTTTATTTCTGATTTTATAGGACAATTGCATTAGTAATTACATACGAAATTTTTTTTTTTTAAATCTTCATGGATGTTTATTAATTATGTGATAGAAACATTTCAGTTACAAACTGCTTAAATGTCGAAAATATGCATTTGATATTCAGTTTTATATTGATTTAACATACAACAACTCACTCTCAAATATGGATTGGGTGTAGCAGCATGTTTAAGACCACATTTTCAGTCTATTCATTTTGGAAGTCAGGCTCCCATACAGACTGGCCTGCCTAAAGCAAATGCAAACCTATTCAAGCCACCTAATGTTCACCCAGTATCTGCTACAAATACAAATTTCTCAGGAGCAAGCATGCCACTTGATGTCAAAATGTCAAACACTGCTCTCATTTATGTTGACTTTAATCGTGAAATACATATAAAGGACTAACACGTTACTAAGAGCAGAGTTTGGCTGTAGGATTGCAAGTCTGTAAATGAACAATGTTAGATGCTTATTTTAGCTGTGCAAGCACGGTAGGAAGCATTGCAATGCGTGTGTTACTTGAGGAAGCATTGCTAAATCCTTCCATAAATGTGAATTTTGAATGAATCATATGTGTGTTGTTACTAGTAGGTTTTTTTCTTTTCCGATCCCTGTTTCAGCACACTCTGCAGTATCAAGTTGCCTTTGCTGTATTGTCATGATGTGCAAAAATTAAAAACATCAGCTTCCACATGAAAATTGCTATGTTGGCAAATGGGGGCCCACCACTCCATCTACTTTCCTGTCCTGTGAGAACAGAGCTTTTTTTGGCTTAGTCTATCTTTCAGGGAACATAGGATGACTTTGCTGATAATGAAAAAACCACAAAGCTTTCTTGTTACCATATGCTCTGTCTCTTCCTCAGAACTCTGCTGGAAGAAGCTGTAACAATCATGTTTTTAATGCAGCCCTGTCCAATTGTAATGAACAATATAGATCTTATTTAAACAAAACACCTTTTAAAGTCTCATTGTGAGATTAATCTACACAACTTCAAAATACCATTAAGTTTCCCCAAGAGAGTAAAGGGAACTTTGTGTATGTTAATATCATAGTTGTGAACTAACTACATCTGATAGTTATTAATTCTTCTGTAATACAAAAGTAAGCTGTAGACCTGAGGTGAATAAAAGACTTCCGATTTATGAAAGACTCAGGCTGACCTTGCCAATGCCATTAACCGTGAGTAGTGCTCAAGCAGATTTTATAGCATTGAGGGGATTTTAGAAGGAGAATATAAGGATATATATGCACTTCGAGGGGCATAAACCATTATCTTACAAAATGTCTAGGCCTTAGATCATCAGAATAAGTCACATGAAACAGTTTTACAAGAGATCCTCTATGGCATAATGCCTTGCGCATATCTGTACTTCTATTACGTGCATAGCTACATTTATGCATGGGTATGTACATATAGTGTGGACCAATGTACTGTTTTATATTCTTATTCTGCCTCTGTTAGTATTTTGGCAAGAAGAAAAATAAGTTTTCCATCCTCAAAAGACTTTCTAAAATGTTTGACGTGGGTCTGACAGTGAAATACAATATGCTGAACTATAGTAGATGGTCAGTTGAAAAATAGCTATATCTATAACATGTATACCTATCATACCTACCGAGTAACAATCTAATTGCAAAGAAAAGTGATAAGGAGTTCTTTATATGTGCTTTAGTGATACTTACAAGGGAAAAAATGTCTTGATACTAAAACCACAATAATACTCTTAAAATACCCTCTTCATTTTACATTCTAATAACATTCTCATTTTAAAAGAAGAGGGGGAGCCAAGGGAAATTTCCTTCACATAAAGGAATAGCTGCTTTCTTCTTTTTTATTATATTGGAAAAATGTAATTGTTGCATGAATATTTTAGCATTGCTGTGTGCAAGGCTCTTTTCCTTTTTAATTTGGGCTTTACATCTTCGAAGTGAGCAATAGCAATTTAAATTTAAAATTTCAATGAAATTTTAGAAAAAGAAATATGATGTCTTGACATACTGTTTTCTTCTTTTGAAAAAACATACATAATCCCCAAACGCAATGTACCCCCCCCTTAGTATTAATCTTTAAATATACCCCAGGAAGTGATCTGCATTTTTGTTCTAAAAGAAGTCAGCATGTTGCTATTGCTTCTTGTCTTAAAGTTCTCGTCCAATTTACTGTTCAGTTTTGTAACACCATCACAGCAGACTCTTTACCACTTAAATGATAAAAGTTTCAAATAGGCACTTTAGTGGAATTACGAAAAAGCTACCACTCTTCCACTGTGATGCCAGAAAGCAATCTTCTTTCTAAGTCAGGTCAGTAAACTGTACCTTGTAGGCCTGAACTTGTCTCAGTGTAATTCAGGACTAACAAAATAAAAACAACAAAAACCTGTGTATATTACAGGATTTATCTTTTCTTCGCAGATCAGCCAAACCTGACAGTATGATAAATGTAGTAACTTGCTGGAAACAGTTACTCTCTTTTATAATCAAAGGAATCCTGTCCTGTATAAAGCTTGGGTTTATCTTCTAAATTTGTTATTGGTTTACTTTTCTTTTTATTTCACTGTCGTAGTTTTACTTAAGTGACTTTGTCAGGGTTATAACTTTCTTCTTCTCCAAACATGTCTGCCAAGATCTTAAAGCGAGGTCCCCAGTCACTCAGATAGTCATAGTCCTGGTCTGCCTCTGTAGTAAAAGAGTCTATAGAGCTGAGAGACTCTGCAACAGATCCAATTCCTTCGTAAGCATACGTTGCCAAGGAGTCATAAGGGGGCGCAGTTGGATCTACATCATTTTCCTGCAGCCTTTGATTAATGAAATCTCTTATGTCTGTGTTATCTTCCACTGGTGGTCTCTGATGCGGAAAACGCAATGTGTCTGGTTTTATGTCCCTGCGAATTTTGGTATTTTCAATCACTTTGGGATTCCTCAGGGCACCTATGTCAAAAGCCTGGGTGTCCTCTTCTCCACCTCCTTCATCATCATAATGGATAACATTATCTCTGATGTCTTCTTTAGAGGTCATCAGGGTGTCCTTTTTCTTCTGCCTCCGTAGTGCTACATACAGTACCACAATGACTGTAACGAGAGAAAACTGAAGTTAAGACATGCACAGAAATAATTTGGTACTCTGATGACATATCGTTATATCTTCCTTCGAAAGCTGCAAGCAATCAAAGGGACTTTTTTCCTTAGTAGATATGCTTTTACTATTCTTTTAAAAATGGCAATGCTCCAGCCAATGAAAAGTCATCCATTGTTTAATATATGAGTCTAACTTTCCTCAGTGTTTGCTGAGCTGCTGAAGGAAGTAGCAAATAATTTTCCTACTGACATGTTTTGCAAATAGAATTGGACAGGACTTCGAATTTTTAGTTCAGAGAGACAGAGGGATGGAGTTCATTTTTAAATGTCTCCATAGCAAAATAGAGAAAAATTCCCAAATTTCCACAATGCAAAAAAAAAAAAAAACAAACCAACCCTCTGTTCAGACCTGGTCAGACACGCTTGGACTTCTGGGTCCAATTCTGGGTTCCTCAGTACAAGACAGACATGGACTTCCTGGAGTGAGTCCAGTAAAGAGCCACAAAGATAATTAAGGGATTGGAACGTCTGCCGTACAAGGAGAGGCTGAAGGAGGTGGTTCTGTTAAGTCTGGAGAAGGGAAGTCTCAGGGGGATATTATCAATGTGTGTAAATACTGATGGCTGGAAACAAAGAAGATGCAACAAGACTTTTCTTAGTGCCATGACTGGACAAGAGGCAATGGGCACAAATTGAAATGCAGGAAATTCCATTAAAGAGTAAGAAGAAAGCTTCTTTACTATCAGGATGTCAAGCATTGGATCAAGTTGCCTGCAGAAGTTGTGGTGTATCCACCCTTGGAGATATTCAAAACACAACTGGATTTGTCCCTGAGCAACCTGCTTTAACGTATCCTGCTGTAAGCAGGGAGGTTGGACTACATGATCTCCAGACATGCTTTCCAACTGTGATTTTTATGATTCTGTATAATATAAAATGTTACAAATTGGGTTTATTCCAAATGGCAACCACCTTGTGGGTTTTTTGCCAATAGTTTGGTTTTGGAGATATATTTCTTTGAGTGCAAAATCTGCTTGTAGCAAACTGGCCTTTGATATTTTTAGTTCTCTAACTGCCTTTGGTAACACAACAATGAATACAGGCGTTGCAATGATTCTTGGTCAGGGTTGTGTGGTGTGAAATAACTCCTGATTCTGGTTATATGTTGACTGTCTTTTGTTTAGAAATGAGTTTGACAATAATGACTTCAACTACAATTTTAATGACTCTGTGTCAGGCCAGGTTCACAGCAAGAAATGAAAATCCACAAGTTTTTTTTACATGTCATTCTCTTAGGTTGCATACAGCACAGGAGATCTCATTATTTATACATTAGTTTTTCTGGGTAATTTTGCCAGGCTGACTAGAATGAACGGCGTTATTAAAGGACCAAAACCTCTTTTCCAAACATAAGCTCACTAATTGAGTCTGGCATTCTATGCAAAGCGGTAACTAAAATATCTTCATTAGTTTTGTATATACCAAGTGCATTAATCAGCAACAGAGCTGGTATAGAGTTCTTAGATATATTTATTTTTGATTGAATATAGTAATTTTTTAAAATAAAAATTTTATTTATTTGAACAAATTGGGGAAGCATAAATACAGTTCTGTTGAAGGCCTCCATGATCACCTAGAAAATTTAAGGGAAATCCAGACTTCAGGTATTCCTGCTTCCCCAGATTTTCTGCTATAGTAAATGATCTCTGTATGAAGAGTACCACACTCTCTGCTGTGTAGTTCACACTGTCTAGATCATGGGACACAAAAGCGGCAACTTGAAAAGCTTTGCTACAGCTATATGTATAGGGCTTCTAGCACTTTGCTCTGTAACAGAGACGTTAGGTATCCTGGGAGTCATGCCTTAAGACAGAGCTCTGATTGACTTCATGTGAAAATAAGTTAAAGGTTTTTTTTCATAATGGAATTTCTTTGATGCTGAGGCTCACCCCTGACACCCTGGCTGCTTTTACCCAGGAAAAAACCCTAAAAGTTACAAAATAGTCCCAAGGAATTACGATAGAGGAGACAGCATTCTTCTTGCTTCCTAGAAAAACTCACCTAAGGCTGTTTTGTTTTCATTGCTTTTTAAATTCTTCAGAATGAGTGTATTGTGATTAATTCCTGTTCCATGGGAAATACGAGAGTTTGCGATTCTTGTTTTGATTTGAAACAACATTTTTCTTACAATTTTTTCACAGAACAGAAATTTTGAAAGTCTGCACCTATTTTTTTTCCAATGGATTAGACCTACATTAGGAGTAGCATGAGATCTAGGAAGCCCCCTAGTATCAAGAAAAGGCATACACTAGCATCTATAGGAATCAGTCTGCTTTCTGAAGCCCACATTGTGCTGTGTAAGCTACAAAGTTGGGTTTATTTTGTTATCAGTTCATTAACGCCGTATTATAAATAGGATGCACATGAGTATTGACTGCTTTGGACATGCTGTAAATAAGGTAATATTAAGATCAAATGGTAATGCCACCTTATGGAATCCATGCCTGCCTGAAATTAAAATGTTCCTGTGAAGTTTTACATGGATCTAGCCAGTCCCAGTCTACACTATAAGTATTTTCTCCTTTCTCATTTTTTTTTCTTTTGTTCAAGTTGGGACGAAGAATTGAATAAATGCCCTTATTAAGTCCTTACTGCTCTTAGTGCCCGTATGATTTGTCTACTTCGTAATAAACTAAAAATATTAATCCTTCAAGACAGGTATTCAAACAAAACTGTTTCAGAGAAAAAATTATGGTTTAGGTTCCACTGAAAGCTGGTTCTCTTCAAGCAATAGGAAATATTTAGGTGTTAGAAAGTTCATGGTCATGTTCAGTGCTTTGGGATGCTTTTCTAGAAATATAGAAACATAAAAGTTCTCATTAACAGACACACATTTTCAATGGCTTTTGTTAAACAAGACGTGAAGATAATAACAAAAATCAATTCACAGGTGAATATCAGAGTAATGCACTTCTCATGGTTTAGTGAGAACTAACCTAGAAGTATAACAATACACAACAAGATTGCAATCAGAGCTCCTGTGCTGAGGCCTACTGGTAAGAAGATCGCTTCCACGTTGCAGGACAGGATGGTACCATCAGTATCACATCTGCAAACACGGATAGTCATTGTGTTTGTGCTGGTCTGGACAGGGTAACTGCTGTCTTCTATAACTACTGGAAGAAAGTACAGCTCTTGTTGCCTTCTGCTGTAACCATTTCTCCTGGTTTCAATCCCAGCCGTGTTGTCTGTAAAACATGACACAGTCATTACAGGATTTTTATTGTGTACTTCAGTTCACCACTGCAGTTTGTATCACCTTTAGTGACAGGCAGCTATTACATTTTTGAAACTCGATGAATGACGTGATTTCTGTAATTGCCTTGTTTTATCATTAAAGAAGGTATTGTATTCTGACTGGCATTTTTTGCAGAGCATTAAATAATCCTCCATTTCCTGTAAAGTTGTTAACTTGACAGCTGAAATGTCAAAGACGACATGAATAATAATTTAAAAAAGCGTTACAGGTATTAGATAAGGAAGGATTTTCAGTTTTTCTTCTCTCCTTATGTCCTTATATTCCAAGCCTGTGGTCCAACGGGCTTTGATTGCACATAGATTTAGAATGACGTACCTATTCATTAATTAATTTCCCTTGAAAATTGAAAGCAATATAACTGGACACATGCAAAACCCCTTCAATTTTCCTGCCCGATTAAAAAGAAGTACAGAAATTAACTGAGTACTTTAAAATCAGTAGATTTTACATCAGTTACTAATGAATGTGTTCAGAACTCCTGGAAGATATGTTTTGTTCTTTCTTGCTGGTAGATACTCAGTTGCCGGTGCTTTTCTTGAATCAAACAGAGTAGCAAGAAAAAGATGTGCAGACTAAAATACTTAAAATTGAAAGCAAAACCAAAATAAAATTAGCAGGGAATTAATTAGCTGACAGATTTGAATGAAGGTAGCGTGCAGCAGTCATATTTTGCCATCTCAACCATGTGCTTTAATATATATTTAGAAGAAGTGACTTGCAGTCCGTGTTATGACTCCCTTGGAGTTTTTTTTCACTAGGTAGGATTAAGGGCTCTGATTTCCACACTGAAATACTTTGCAGTTCTGATTAACGACAACAAGAAGGAACCCTAAATATCCAACATCAGATAAGTTATGATCAGACACCCTTGAGGAAGCACATGACTGGCAAAATGCTTATTTCAAATTCCACTATTTAGCAAACTCAGACATAGCAAATGGACATATGTTCAGTGGCATTCACTTTTGAAAAAGAAAGATGTCTCAAAATTGTTTGAATCGAACCAACTTCCATCTTCAGCTTGTTCTTTCACTCTACAATTAATCACCTGCACCATATAAAGAGTTTTAGGTCTAACTTGAAGTCATCCAGCTTAATCTTTCTATTTCTATCAATAAAAATATTTCAATTATTTTTGTTTTTTTCTTCTGATTGTAATGTTGAAGATCACTTTTATGCATGTTACAATGCAACCAAATGGCTTTCCAATTCTCCTTTGAGAAGACTCAAACAGATCGAGCTCTTAAGGCTTTGACTTTGTAAAATTTGTTGCTCTTCTACAACCCCGTTCAATTGTTTAAGATCCTTTTGAAAATATTGACACAGGCATGTTTTTTAACTCTACACAGAGCAGTCAGGAGCTGCAGCCTGAAACTGAGACAGCTTCTGGTGCTTCTGTCTGTAAGAAATAAATTCATTTTCAGGATGTATGTGACAGTCTGGAGAGAAGGAAAAGTCTCTTCCGTGAGCAACTGAGTGTGCTCAGCAGGGAAGCGGCTAACTAGAGAGAAGAGTGATACCAGCAAAAGGTGGGCAGTTCGGCTGGAAGCACTCCAGCTCTGCCAGGTCCTCTTCTATTCACAGCTGGTGGCTTGGTCTCAGGACTGTTGAAGGTATAGTCTAGAAATGTAACGTTTCCCTATGTTTGTATTTATTGAGAATCCAAATGGCAACCTTGAGCTTCTGTCTTGCTTCTGGCCTCATTAAGTTATAGTCTGAAGAAGTATGGAACCTAGAAAAGTATGTCCTCTTGGGTGCATTGCAAACATATTACACCTTACCCACGATTTTTTAGCTGTAAAGAATAGCACTGGTTATTTCGCTTCTTGATGTGTTCAAAAATGTTAAACAACGCCTTTACTCGTAAACCCATTAATGGCAACACAGTGAACAAGATTGTTTATTCAGAGAAAATCAAAATAGCTTTTACACTACCTGCTTGGTACTAAAGCAATTGCTAACTCAAAAGATAATGGTATTTATGTTTTTAAATTTTTCAGTATGGAAAATAACATTGCGTTACTATACCTCTAGATTGTTCATAAAGCAGACCTTCCTGCCTTTTGGGAAACAGGCAGAAGATATGGAAAATATTGTACAGAGTTTCTGTGTGGACAGATTCTTCTAATAGCTCGGTAAATCATCAAAAATGAAAAAGTCTTTTATGGCTGGAAAATATTCCTCAAAAACTATTTTCTGTCTTCCTAATATTACAATAAGCAGTGTACTTCTTTTTCAGTAAGTTGTTAAGAAATGCTTTTAAGATTGTGTGTAAGTACGTACACACACAAATATTTATGTGTGAAAAATGTTGTGCCCAGCTGGTTTCTAATTTCATTTTTTAATGGGAATATAATATTTGGTTTTATATAGTAGAGAAAGTTTGTTAACAGACTACTGACATCCAAAGTCATCGCGGTGTCAACACTGCTGGTTTAAACAGGGAAATTTAATTACCTAATAATATTTTAGCAATTTCCTCACCAAACTCATATGCTGAGCACACTTCACAAAAGCTGTAAAGGTCATTGAGTTTAATCACTGTATACTCTTTTTGAGTTTAAAGATTCTTTTGACCTGAGAATAACTTGAAGACTTGTATTTAAAACAGTGGGGTTTAATTATTTGAAAAAATTAAATATTATTGAAATTATTAAGATATTTTAGGAAATGGACAGAAAGAAAGACATTAAAGCTCTTTAAAGGAATCTTGACTGAAAGAGAAAAGGTATTTAGAAATACATAAAACTCATGTTATAAGACTACATAATTATAAAGATACTACCCATATGTGCCTTCAAATGCGTTGGAAAGGTGAAAGCAATTCGTGTAAAATATGAGGAAGCTCTAAAGAAGTATTTTTTCCTTCTTCCGTTAAGATATAGAGAACATTTTTTTTCTTTTTTAATTATGATCATTAGCAAAGTTCATCATGCTGAGTTTTCCAAGGAAATACTACCTACAACTAAGTAGGGGACAGAAAATAACAGAAATTGCAGTGCAGCACTAAGGGGAAGCAAACTTAAGAATTATGCAAAATTCTACGTCCAATGGGCACAGATTTAAAGCATTTAAATCTTGCTTGGCATAATTATAGTTAGATAATGAAAAGCCACAACATTTTAAAATACTAGTAGCTGTTTACAATCAAACTGTTTAAACTAAGCAGATCTGGAGTAATGACCTAGTCTTCCAAAAATAGAAGTAAGCTGACTTGAATCCATTGTAAGGTTGTCTTTCATTTTCATTGAGCTGTCTGTCCCAAGAAAACTATTTGAATGGCCTCTGATAAAGTGATGATCTACATATTTTTGATTTTATAAGGCTCATGTCTGCAATATTATGGATTATTATGGTTTCATTATATGCTGTATTCACAATTCATTAAGTGAAATTCTTTGCCCATCTGTAAAATGTTTTTGGCTATCTATGACATACTAAGGCAAAAGTCACTAAGTTTTGGAATAAACAATTTTTGTTTTGTCAACTTCAGAGAGGAGCTATATAAAAAGTTAAAATAAGGACAGTTTATTCTACTGCTGTTTGAAATTTATTTCTTCCTAAACTTACTTAATGATAAAGGTCTTCATGATTAATAGTTCTGCTTATTTTATTGGCTTTCATTTTGTATCACCTAACATACAGTGATACATTTTGTATCACCTAACATACAGACAAAAGTGCATGGCTTCAAAAATAATGTGGGTCATATATTCACATTATTTTAAAAAAGGATAAACAAGTGGCCTCTGCAATTTTTTTCATTCTGTATTATCCATTTCCAGCCCTTTTTAAGGCTCAGGTTACATAATTCTCAAGAAAGGAACATTTACTTCATAGTCAATATCATCTCAAAATTAAATTAAAAATAATAACAAATTTAATTCATAATTTAAAAAAAATATGAATTATATACTTTTTCTTAACAGTCCTGCTTGCAGCCTACATAGTTAAATCGCCAAAGGAACATTACTGAAGTTTATTGGATGACTTTAGGTGTTCTTTCTTCGCACAGTAACGTAAACCCTTTTTTATGAAAAGATTATCATATCACAGATCTTTACAGATCACTTAATAGCTGATTAAACTCATTAATTTTTTCCCTTATTTGATTAATTAACAGTGAAAATTTACTAGAGTTTATTATGATGTTTTAGCTATGTGTGTTCAAAAGATCAGATGCTCGCAAAAGTTTTCAATAGAAATAAAGATCAATTTTTTTCATTTTGGGTTGTTCTTCGCTATTTATTAAAAGCATTCAATCGAAAGAAGAAAAAAAGATGATCAGTTATGACAAAAAAAAATGAGGGAAAAATCAGAGATGATAGTTATATAAACAAACAAATTATTAAGACTGCTGTGGATGTTACACTGCAGCAGCACTGTCCGTATTTAGAAATAATTCTTCCGCAGGACAACACATCCTCCAGAAAGCACAGTAGCTGGGTACTCTGAAAACAGTTAGCAAAGTAACAGTATTTAAACAAGGCACCAACAGTGCCTTGTTTAAAGTTATACCTGCATTGGCATATGAGTTCTTCCTGAGATATTGACTCATAAAAGGAAGAAAAT